CCATGGGAACTTGATGTACAACAGAACAAAATGTTGCCTGGGCCTGCACGATGCTTTGTCACCAGCATGGTCAGGCCCGTCTTTGTGGCTATTGTGCCAGGCCATCACACTGCAGGTCTTCCTCGCTCTCTTTAGGCCTCGACTTCACCTAACATAATGTCCTCCTCCAGTGACTGATAGCCCCTGATGATGTGTCCCAAGTGAGCGAGTCAGAGAATGGTCTGTTCACCTATAGAGGCATGTGAAACCAATCTAATTCTTTCTCCGTGTAACTCATTTTAATATAGGTAATCACCAACTTACAACGGGGTTCCATCCTGATGACTCCGTCGTAAGTTGCTTCTGATATAAGTCAATTTTTTTTTTAAGTTTTCATTATTATTGCCTTTTATTACCAGTATCTTTATAAATCCAATCTCTGTCTTGAGGGGTTGGAAACATTACATCTAACCTTACAGATATATTTTAACATTGTATGAAATACATATTACTAATGATAAGATGTACAAAAAAAAAACCTCCAAACTATTGTAAGTGCTTTGGTGGTGTAGTGGTTAAGGCATTTGGTTGCTAACCAAAGGGTCAGTGGTTCAAACCCACCAGCTGCTCCATAGAAGAAAGATGAGGCAGTCTGCTTCTGTAAAGATTTACAGCCTCAGAAACCCAGTGGGGGCTACTATGAGTTGGAATCAACTCGATGGCAGTGAGTTTGACTTTTTGAGTTATAAATGCTATTCATCATAACTCGGATATGTTGGGGACTGCCTTTACTGTGAGAACGTCATTGTGGGAGACAATCTACATAGACCATAAAGACTGTTCTAGTTGTGGTTTCCCAGCACCCAGCCTCTAAGACAAAAGATTGGACCAGGAACAATCTTGTGTGAAGGAGATAGGCCTGGGCAGAGGGAGCCGGCGAACTGAGATGCGGTACAAAAAGAGGCCTCAGCCAATTCTAGAGGGAGCTGAAACCAGGACTGCCCTTCAGAGGCAAAAGGGCACTCTGTGGAGTTACACAGTTTCTTCCGGTTGGCAAGAATTCCTGCAGAGGGACTCCGCCAGAACACACGTGTTGAGGGTGGGAAGATTGCTCCGAGCGTGGGAAAATGTGTGCTCAGGGCTGGAGGTGAGAGGACATCGAATGTCCTGGCTACTGAGGAAGTGCAGCACTGAGGGGACACATGGGAGAGTCTGGGGACATGCAAGCAAGGAAGCTGGAGGTCTCCAGGGACCCAGCAGAAGGACCTTGTGAGCCTTGGTCTGGAGCCTGAATGTGACGCTAAAGGCCAAGGGAAATCACTGAACTGGTTCAAGCAGGAAAGTGACACCACCTATGAGAATTATGGTGACATTAGCCCAATGGCCGTGTACAAGGGGATGGGTTGGCAAGGGGCATGAGAGGAAGCTAAGAACATTTTTGGAAGCTGTAGCAAAGATGGACGTAGAGGTGGGGGAAGCCTGCATCACCATCACTTCATCTCCCATAATCCTGTTCACTGAGCATTTTTTCTGTGCACATGGCTGTAGAGCCACCTGCCTTTTTTCTATGCCTCCCTCCTCTGTCATGACTGCGCATTTGGGCTCATGAACCCCAGTCCAATTGAATTTCATCTTGTTAGATCCAGGTCATGGCTCTAAATGATTTTAAAAAGAAAAGAAAAAACTGGGAGGTCCCCATTCTATATTTTAAAGTATTCGATACCTCCCTCCCTTCCGCAAGAGAGTCCTAAATTTCAAAAAGTTACTTTAAAAAGTTCCATCAATTTACTGATAAAAGTAATAAAAGGAAGAAGGTGGCGGACAGGACATTGACACCCCATCATTAACTTCCCTAGGGATGGAAATCCATATATTTTTTTTCAGGGTTATCACCCTGAGCTAGTTGCTGACCCACCCAGCTCCCCTGCATCCTTTCCGTGTCCTTTTAACTTGCCCAGACTGATGTGAGGACAGCTCTTGCCAATGACCTTGCTGAACTGCATTGGGACTGTTTCCTTAAACCAGTTTGTCCAAGAAAGGAGTTGGGCACGCCTGAAGTGTTTTGTGTGAATCTCTGCTGCCATCTAGTGATCAAAACATCTCTTTTAAGAACTACTTAACCTTTAAAGACCAGGCAATCTACTTTCCTAAACATTTACTATCTCGGAAACCGACTCCATGGCAGTGAATTTTTTTTTTTTTTTTCAGTGGCACAATAGTTAAGACATATGGCTGCTAACAAAAAAGTCAGCCAACTTGCTTCCGTAAGGATTTACAGCCTTGGAAACCATCTGGGGGCAGTTTTATTCTGTCTTCCTGTGGCACTGTGAGTCAGAATCCACCCAATGGCAGTGGATTTGGTTTTGGTTTTGTCAGAGCTTTGAACATGATCATATTCCCCAGAATTAAATCCATAAATTGAACTTGACAATGGAGCCCTGGTGGTAGTGGTGAAGCATTCAGCTGCTAACTGGAAGGTCAGTAAGTAGTCCATACCTACCAGCCGCTCCATGGAAGATGTGGCAGGCTGCTACTGTAAAGATTACAGCCTTGGAAACCCTATAGGGCAGTCCTACTCTGTCCTATGGGGTCTTTATGAGTTGGAATTGACTCAATGGCAGTGGGTGATGGTAGGAATTGTCCCTTCAGAATTCCTTGGAGGTGCAAAAGGTTAACATGCTTGTGTCCTGCTAACTGAAAGAGTGGGTGTTTGAGTCCACCCAGAGGTGTCTTGGAAGCAAGGTCTGATGGTCTACTTTTTAAAAATCAGCCATTGATAACCCTATGGAGCGCAGTTCGACTCTGACACACATGGGGTCACCATGAATCAGAATCGACTTCACAGCAACTGGTTGAAAATGAGGAGGGCTAGACTCAGGGCCCATCCCAACCAAACCCATTGGCACTGAGTGGATTCCGACTCATATCACCCTTGTTGTTGTTAGATGCCACTGAGTAGGTTTCGACTCATAGTGACCTCCTTTGGGTTTCCAAGGTTGTAAATGTTTACGGAAGCAGACTGCCTTTCTTCCACGGAGTTGCTGGTGAATTTAAACCACCAGCCTTTTAGTTAGCAGCCAAATGCCTTAACCAGTACACCACCAGAGCTTCTTCTTACATGGCCCTTCCAACCAAAAACCAAATTCACTGCCATCAAGTCGATTCTGACTCATAGTAACCTCCTTTGGGTTTCCAAGGCTGTAAATCTTTATGGAAGCAGACCGCCTCTTCTTCCGTGGAATAGCTGGAGGTAGAATTTTGCAATTTTAGCAAGTTACCGACCTAAAAATCTCTGGAAATGTTATCAAAAAGTGTTTTTCATCACAAACTCCAGAACCCGCACAAGTTCTGCATTTGTATTGTGAACTCTGAAGTGAACCTCTCTCCCCCTGTGAAGAGGTGAGGGGCACAAATCTTTAGGAAAAGAGATAAGGGGAATGCAGGCTATTTTAGGACAATGTCAAATACGCGATCACACTCAGTGGCCACATCACCCAGGCTGCAGCTGCCCCAGCAATCTCTCTCTATTTCTGTGTAGACCACTCTCACCTCCGGGAGCTGGCACTCTGTGGGCCACACATGAAGTTTGATGAAGACCGTTGCGAGTGTGTCTGTAAAGCGCCGTGTCCCCGAGATCTCATCCAGCATCCAGAAAACTGCAGCTGCTTTGAGTGCCGAGAAAGCCTGGAGAGCTGCTGCCAGAAGCAGAAGATATTTCACCCGGACACCTGTAGAGGGATGGCTTTTCCACTCTCGCCTTGACACCACCCATCGGCACTGAATGTAAATACCATCCAAACGGTGGGATTCCTAATGAAGTCCATCCTTTCTTAGCGCCCAAATAACTTTTTTGATAGTCAGACAGAGATTTGGCAAACCGAGCAGTAAACAAGAGTGTACAGAGTGATGATTAATGGTGACAGCAAAAAAAGCTTGCCTGTTACTTGGTTTGGAGTCCTTGGGTGGTCCAAGTGGTGAAGTGGCTGCTAACTGAAAAGTTGGAGGTTTAAGCCAACCTGGAGGTGCTTGGGAAGAAATGGCTGGCAATTTGCTTCTGAAAAATCAGCCATTGAAAACCCCATGGAGCACACATGGGGTTGTCATGAGTCCAGTTGACTCGCCAGCAACTCTGGTTTTGCTTGCCGATTCCTAGCTCTGAAGTAAAAACTAAGCTGATGAATTTTAAACAATTCTGTTTTTTGGGAGGGGGGGGCTTCAGGTCAGCAAACACTTTGTTTCTGTCTCTCTCACTGTGCGTGTACGTATATGTATATGTATATGAATATGTATATGTATATGTATGTATTTTTACTTTGCTGACAAGGATGTCACCGGATTTGCATAGTGAAAAGGTTATTGAGGAATAGAACACTCGGAGGTTATGGATTGGGATGTAAGAAATTTTGAATTCATGTGAGATGACTATTTGGAATTTTCCACTTTTAAATACATAATAAGAATTCTTCCTTCAAAAACTTTTAGAACAGTTTTTTTTTTAATGCCTTTGAATTCAAATCTTGATTCTGAAATCTTGTGTTTATTTCCTTTTGCAACAGCTGAGAGGACAAATGTCCCTTTCATGCCAGAACATGTGCAAATGGAAAACCAGTGTGTGCAAAGCACTGCTCTCCAAAGGAGAAAACAGCTGCCATGGGCTCCGAAGCTGCGAACAGCCTTGATTCAGCTTTTGCTCTCTAGTTCCCCACTTCTGCTCTTGTAAACAGCATGCTGCTTTGCCAAGTTGCCATCACTGTTTCTTCCAGGTCTTAGGGAAAAAAAAAAAAAAAAAAACCACTTTGCATAGTACCAGGGTGAATCCAGGGCAACCTTCCATTAACCACCTGCGAAGGATTCCCTGGCTCGGGACAGATGTCTTCTAACTGAAATGTGTCCATTCGCACACCACGGAATGGAGACCAGAGCCACTGTGTCACTGTTTTCAGTGAATGAAAAAGGTCTGATCATCGTGGGGTGACAGGTGTCATGTGATCGATAGATCACGTAAAGACATCTGCACAGCCTCTGAGTCCTTTGCTAACTGCAACTCTCATGAATTATTATGATTCTCTCTTACACGTAATCCGATTTATAAGACCAGCACTGACTTTCTGATTACTCCCCAACTTATAGCTTCTGAGTTTCCTGAACTACTGTTTGATGTTTCATATTTAAGTGTATTTAAAGAAAATAAACACCAATATTCAGGCCACAAACTCTTGCATGTTATTTCATATGCTTCCACTCAATTTGAGGCTAAAGCAAAACAAAAAAAGGTGGTGGTGGTGGGGAGGTTTTAGGAGAAAAGAATTTAGAAGTCCAAGGTGTGAGGAGAGAGGTGCCACAGTTTTAGGAAACTGATCTCTCGGAAGTTTAAGGCTCTAAACCAGATGATGGAAATGTGACCCAAGAATACGCTGAGACTCACCTTGTCCTTTGAGATTCAATGAAACTTGACAGGTTCCCTACTGTGTGATGGAGGAGAGCCCACTGAAGCCCCAATGTCTTTGACAGCTAATGTCTCTTCTGGCCATATCCAGATCAACATTTCTGCACTTGCTTAAACTCTCAGTCTGGTCACAACTCAACTCTTGGGCCACGTGATTCTCTCTGTTGCACAACTGCCCTTTGCCTTCGCTTTCCCCTCCAGACTGCTCCCACGGATGGTTGGTCTTGACCAGAGCAGCACAATAAATGACTTGCAATGTTAGCAGCAAAGCAAAGAACTTAAAAATTGGTGCCCCATAAAGGAGACCAGGCTCACTGGGCTGACAGAGCCTGATGAGACCCCTGAGACTCTGGTCCCTAGTTACCTTTCAGGTTTAGAACTGAACTCAGTCCCATGACTTCCAGCCAAACAACAGTCAGGCATATACGGTGAGCACTTACCTCGAGTAGATAACTCCTCAGAGCGATCATTCGTGGGAGAACAGAAGGGCAGTGTTTGCACAGGGAGATAGCTCAGGGGACAGGACTGCATAGGAAAGAAGACTTAGGGAAGAGGTAACTACAGGGAGGAAGTGGGAAGAGAGCTGTTACATTGTGGGGATTGCAGTCAATGTCATGAGACAAAATATGTATAGAAAATGAATTTGCTCTGTGAACTTTCACCCATATCACAATTAAAAACAAAAGTGAGCAAAATATTTTGCTGCTTTCATAGGATCTTGCACAGATAGATAAATAATTACACTA